TAATTGAGTTTTCAGTTCATCTACAGTAATTCCTAAAGTGAAATCACAGTTGCAGTTAAAAAAATACAATTTTGCATGGCTGTGAGATAATAACACATACAACTTTAGTTGCAGAATCTGTGTTCCAACATTGAGGATTCTAGATATTATACATAACTCTATAAGCATTCAGTTTCACAGGAATACTTCAGAAAGGAAAAAGTATAACCTCCGAGTTTTTACGATGCTTCCCTTTCATGTGGTAGCCATATGTGTGCAGAATGCTATGGTGCCAGGTACGTGTGGTCCCAAGTTCTGACGCATACTATCCAAAACATTGGTAGTATCTAAACCTGTTTTTACTGGAATGTGAAAAACTGTTAACATGTTACCAAAGTGTAGCCTAATTTGTTAAAGTTGTCTTCTATGTAGGTTGATGTTTTTGTTCTTCCTCATATACTTTGTCTATTTCAGTCTGCGATTGTTCTTTCACTTCCCAGTGTTAATATTTCTTTTGCCTTCCTGTATAAGACATGGATAAAACCCTTAGATCAGAGACTGTAGACCTGTCTCAAGAACCGCAGATTCCACTTTGGGATAGTACTGCATAGTACTTCCAGGGGGAGTTAAAGTCCCAACCCCCCAAAAGACGGAAATAACTATTTATATCTAAATCTCACATATTAACCTACACAGGTAGGAGGAAATGTTTTTGAAACATTTCTTCAAATTCGGTATCAAGTGACTGGGGGTAGAGAACGCTGATTATGTCTCTAAACATAAACTCCCAAATCCATCCATGAGTCCAAAGCAACCCTCTCAAGAATCTGAGTAAAAAGCATCAAGTTTGTAAATACTTGAGTGTCATTGTTGATGGTGGAGTAATAACACATAAAGGAACACGTAGAAGGAATCTTACTAAAGGCTGGACAAGTATTTTCTTAGGACTCATTAAAAGTGTCTAGAAGCCCAAGACAAACACATCCATCCCACCTTTTGGAGGGCCAAAACCCCCACTGATCTCAGCCTCCCTTGCCATTACATTCCATGTGAATTAATCAATTATGTGGAATCGGTGAGCACTTGGCTTTCATTAAGCTCTGCTGAGTAGACTCACAATTACTTTCCATGCTTCATAAATAAACAGACATCAAAAACATACAAACTATCCTATATATGATGAAGGCAACACAGATGCTGAAGAAGGAAAACTGTGTTTTGTCTTTCATTTGCCAGTGCAAGAGAACATAATTATCAACTGTGAATGTGTAAACATGCCTAATTAGTAAAGATCTTTCTTGCTTAATAAAATTTATTTTGAGGATAGTGAGCCACTATATGCTCAGTTATTTATCTCCCAAGTTTTAGATGTATTGCCTACTCTTATATCAAACTAAAAATTAAGCTACAGTCAAAATGTCATTTATTCAACAACAATTTATTGAACACCATCATCCATCAAATTGTTCTACAACCCAGTAGTCTATGCAACGTTTCGTGAATAAATAGAAAAGACAAACGTAAGGCTTATAAATTTTACATATTATGTACAGATAACCTGAATCACAGTATAAAGTTTGAAATGAGACATATCCTCCATTAGTCAGTCCCTGCATTAAGAGCTCAAGTATCTATATAATTAAACTTTCCATTTCTTATTAATGCATGATTTAACTTCCAGCTCTTTTCTTAAACTGACTCTACAGCATCCACTTTTAGGATATTTTGCACTTTTAAGAAAATCTTGTGTAAGTGAAACAAACAGAATAACTGGAACTGAGAACCTCATTCGACAAAGATTAACTTTCTTTTTTTCAACTCCTAATTGCAACAATAAAGATATTGCTAAAGGAGGGATTAATGTTAAAGGAATTCTGTGTCTACAAAACCTGACCTCAAAGGAATTAATTACAGAAAACGTATTAGGGACCAGTTGGAGTAATTCTTCAATTTAAACTATCAGTTGCAAAATGTAAATCTCTGATAAATTTTAAGTAATATTGTCAAAGTTGCGCTAAACTAGTTACAAAGAAAATGCTCTATTCATGACTTTGTATAAACATCCTTAACAAACGTTTTACTTTATTTATCTATACTATGTAACAATTTCATGTAACATTTTCAGGTCGTTCTAAAGACTGGTTCTAGATATTTTAAAAAGTATTGCAAGTTTACTTCAATTCTAAGTGTAGTATCTGCCTGAGTAATATGCCATATTACTTTCCAAAAGCTTTCTTTTAAGGAGGATCATTTAGAAAGACCTTTTCATGTCATATGAAGGGGTGATGTTCCATCAAAAGCCATCTGAGTCTAGTGTGTAGGTGTGTGTATAAAATACAAATGTTTGTTTTATATATATAAAATATGTGTGTAATATACACACACATACATACAAACATATTAACATATTAAAGTTAGAACAATGTATAAGGGGCTTTTAAATTACATTTGTTGACAGATGCTTATCAACATTTGTGTAAAATGTGAGGGACACATATGGAAGGCAACGTTTTTAGCACACAGAAACTATTATCTGTTCCTAGTTCCTTGTCCACCGTGTAATCCTCAATAAATTCCTTGATGTCTGTCCCCCATACCCACAACCACCCCCCACCTCTTTTCTTAACCTATGAAATGAGTAGTAATATTTGACTGCAAAAGTGTTTAAGAACTTCCTATGGAAAAGTCTGTACTAAATACATAAATGTAGCAAGTATATTTTGCCATTATGAGTAATAAATTCTGTTTTCAATCTGGTTTTTTTCACTCTTATTAACTTGACGTTTTTTCCTTCCATAAAACCTGAGTCACTAAATCCCTTTTTAAAATTTCTGATATAGATGCATAAGTGCATTTCTACGTGTTGAACTTTATCAAGAAAGGAATGTTTAAAAATGCACAGTATACATCATTTGTTACACTACACTAATATAATTAACGAAACTTTAAAAATTTAATTACAACATCGATAGAAACATATCAAGCTTGATGTTTGTCACTGTCGTCTTTTCTTTCTGAGGCTTTCATAACGACCGCAAAGGTCCTTGCTGATCCACTGAAACAATAAAAAGGGGGAAAAAATTCTTTCTTTACTGTAGAAGTTGTGAAAAGAGCTTACACTAGCATGATATTTGCAAGTAACAAAAGGTACCTTTGAAGGTATTTTTTTAAAAGTGAGGCATCATCTCAAGAAAATAAATTGCAGCATATTAGAAAAACCAGATGGTATTCATTTGAGAATCCTAAAGAATTTAAGGATATAGATAAGTGATCTACTAGCAAAAAATGAGCATGTACCATTAAAAGAGTCCATAAAGGAAAAAAGCAGTTGATAGAAATTGCATCTGTCTTTTTAAGTGTTGCTAATAGTATGTATTTGTAGAACTTTTTGGTAGGAATTGAAAATAATCACTGTAATCAGAACTCTAAAATTTATAGATAATGAAGTAAAGAGGGAATAATCACATTTCCTAAAATGGCAAATTATGTTTCTCACATTTTGAAAAATTTATCATAAACAAATTTTTTCATGTTATATGTATCTAGATAATGATGCCTATGGATAAATATTTTAATGTTTTAGATATTACAAGTGAATTAATTTTATACATTTAAAATAGCACAGGTAATTTGTTTTATGCCTCAAAATGTTACATTTACGTTTTTGTATTAATGAGCACAAAGAGATTTCTTTGATTGGCTAGTTTAACATAATTACTAAAATACCAGAATATC